CTGAGATCAGCTCCTCCCGGTCCGGCAGGGATGCGGCCACGGCCCGTTCCACGAAGACTCCCGTAAGGATATTGAAGAGCGCCTTACGAACTCCCGGGACCCGCAGGCCGTTGGAAAAAAGGATCGCCCCTCTGAGACTCTGGGAAGGAATGTGTCCTTTGGTAAAGGGTGTGGGACCACCTGATTTATACAAACTGATACAAGCCAGCAAATTGCCTGCCAACCCCCGACGGGAGCCATTTATTTGGACAAGGACCACTTTGACATTCACTGGCAGGCCGTAGCTGTTCGTCATTGGGGGCGACCGTATCTTGTTCAAAGCGGAGAAAGGCTGAGAAAGGGCAAAACCATGGGATTGTCTCAAAATAAGACCCCCCAAAATAGCTGGTTTGGTGTTCCAATCAATACACCCCCTCAAAAAACATACGCCCAGTCCAGGCCCCTTTTCGCTCGAATGGCCCTGTTTTGCCTGAAGTCGGGGAACCACCCCTTCAGCAGCCTTCGCTGCCCAGGAATTGCACATGTTGCACGAAAGCTCCAGCACTCGCCTATGGAAGGGAAGCAATCCTGGGGTTTCTGGATGCCAATGCTTTCGTGAAACAAACTCAGGCCCGGCTCATGCGATCTGAGGTGGCCACGGACATTCCTTTTTTTTTACCTATTCTTTGTTTAGATACTGTGCAAGAACAGGAGATGGAATCTTTGGCAAAATTGGAAGGAGCCAGAGGGCATTGTGCGCAAGGAGAACCTGGCCAAGGTGCAAAAATGAAGAAGAAGGTGTAGATTAAGAAGACTGCAGGGTAGAAAGAGCCCATCAGGTCCATGACAAAGTAATAGGCATTCCAGTCGTTGCCGCCGGTCACAGCCATGTAGAGCGATAGCCTCAAAAAAATGGTGGGCCCCCTCATTCTCGTTGGACGTCAAGAGGTAGCCTCTTTCGGGCTGCACCCAACCAAACATATGTGCAAGACATACGTAGCTTTTTGTCCAAAAACGTCAAAACTGGGCGGTCATCAGACTCCCTTTTAGAAGCTTATCTTTTAGTGTTAAATGAATGGAACAAATGGAAACCCCTTCCTTCTGAAGGTTATTACGTCATACCTACAGAGTGGCATCGCGGCATTTCTCAAACTGGTGACCCAAAGTCAAGCACAGCAGTGGTGGACCGTGCGCCCAGAGCACAGAGCACAAGGAGAAGCAGGCTCAAAAGAAAGGGGGAGGCTGTGAAGTTGTGCTGCTATACCGTGCCCTTTCAGGAATAGAGGATTCAAAGGGGCAAAGCTGCGCAGCCCTCTGAAGTGCAGCGCTGACTCTTCGGTTTTGGCAAATCCTCCCCGCCGGCCCGTCGTCTTTGATCAAACTGTGGCTGGAGCGCATGGAGTTGCCCACAGAGCCGAACTCGGCCATCATGATAGCTACATCTTCAGGCGGTAGGAGCTCAGAGTCCTTGCGACATGTAAGCCAGCGAGCGAGGCATGCTAAAGCAAACACCAACTGAGGAAGGCATAAGATTGCACACTTGTGAAACCAGGTCGGAGAAATGGCAGGGAGTGGAGGAAGGAAAACAAGCCAAAACCAACCTCTGATATGTCCAGCAACCTTGAAATTGTGCAAACGATTGGACTGATTTCCAGGTTCCGTTGGAGATTGCCAACATGCGCCAAAGCTGCACCAGCTTCAAGACCAGCATGTCACGCCATGAGATGAGTGCTTGGCAATTGGCAACAACCATTTGGGCAGTTGCTAGGTGCTGACTGCCCGAATTTACTGGGGAATGGTAGAAAGACTCGACAAAATTGAGGCATCTTGGGGCATCTCGGTCAATGTCTCCTTGGTCGCAAGGAAGCTGGCAACTCCCTGAGCAAAGATAAGCGCAAATACGTAGAGCAAGAACATCAAGAGCACAAGTCCTGAGCTCGAGGCCGCTCAATGGCAGTGCCCAGAAAAAAACATCACTTTGGCCGTCAGCTCCGGCAGGTCAAGTTGAAGAAGTTAAACCAACGTGTTTTTTGATGCTCGGCCTTTGTGGGTAACACGTTCATGAACTTCGCCCAGGAATTCTATGTTTGGTTGCGAGGTGGCCGTGCCTTTTGACTTTTACCCTCTCCATACGGAGTGCCAGCACGTGCCTGCAATTATGTGGCATGCGCCACATCTCCCCCTGCAATCAAAACTGCACATTGTGGTTCCTGAAAGCTGCCCTTTGGATTGCTTTGCCAGGCTGGGCGAAGCTCAAGAACCCTCCCAGAGCGGTGACAGGCGTGTTTTGGGCTGGCTTCTCCAGCCGAAACTTGCCAGGCAGCCCCAGAACATGGCGATCATGCACTTCCGGAAGCCTGGGCTGACAAAGTCCCAGAGCCCCCAGAAGCGACGAGATGAACAAAACACCACAGCAGCAACAACAAGCACTACGACCATCAGCACCACCAACACCACAACCACAACCACCACTAGGCCACCACTAGGCCATCACCACCACCGCCACTACAACAACCACAAC